AATATCTTTGGTGAGTGTGTTTTTGTGTGCTTTTCTCCTCTTGAGTATCAGGAAATCTTCTTTTTTTAATAACATGTCAGTAAAGCTAGGCAATATGGCCTATAACACATATCTCAATCATTTCATAATATCGTGACACACAGTACATCTCAATACTTTGAAATCCCTTTCCATAGGCTCCCTTTGACACCAGTATGATGGTTCACCAGTATGATGAACAACATATGTCTGCTTTGGCCTACAGTTCTACCCCTGTGTATCTGCTTTAATATAGGAATTAGAGCACAGCTACATGAAACGGAATGAATTGACATCTTACAATACCAAGCCGAACGACTATAGCCGGTTGAAGTACCAAAAGTAAAGTCAAAACATCTCTAAAGCTGCATTCACATGATAAGCGGTAAAATGGCTCTACGCTGACGTTGTGTTTCTATGAGGGGTGCCGACCGAACTAGCCCGAAGCGCTACCATCGACGTCACGCAGCGCTCTAAAGTGTTGCAGACTGCTGACGCCTTAAAAGAATATGAGGCAATTTGTACTCGATGTTTGCAACATATACTTTTTATACATCCTAAGTAGAACAAGCTCGATACATCGAGGTTATTGGCCCTACCCCACATGTAAGTCCTCAGCTGTTCCACAGTGACCTCTGTAGACTCACAACAGAAACATATCTTGATGTTTCATGCCATCACACTTAACTGGAGTGTCCCTGCAGAGCACAATAGTCTTCATTCTGTGAGCACAGCATCAGTTTCACCCAGGATTAGATTCTGTTTGTGCTGGTAGCTGAAGGGTAGGGGGGGTGCAGCTATCCCCTCCTGACCCTCTGTTGTTGTTTCTTCAGCTGCCACAGCAGCAGTGGTTGAAGCCTGTGGGGAAATTGAAACTAATTGATTGAAACTGCTCGGACTGTTCAGCTTCACCACTATGTCCACTATGGACAGGTGGATGTTAGAATGCATTACACTCAGGGACACGGAGTAAAAACTTGACTGTGGATTCATTTCCATTACTAGGAATACCCTCAAATGGCTGACTCAATACTACTAGTTTGCTCTCTACCATGGTAGAGAAGTACAAATGTAACCTCATTAAAAAAAATACAGGAATTATTATGTAAGAAAGAACATGCTTGCAAAATGTTGCTCTTTTATTTTTCTTATCCTACGATCTTATTTATGATCTATCTTTTTTGCCTTTTCTTAGTTTCTTGCTACTCTGTTTGTTAGTTGGTTTCAACTAGCAGCTAGCATGTATAGCGTGCTAAGATCAACGACCCTGCTATATTTGTACGTTATCTACGTGACTTAGCTAGCTGGCAGATACATTTCTGTTAAGAAATACAGAGCTGCCAAAAGTAATGATTCCTTCTTCTTTATCCACACAAACGTTTATTATTTAATTCTGTTTACTTCTTTTTTGTTAATCACTAGCAATTAGCCTTTTCTGTTTTCCGTTTACCGAAAGAAAATTAATCTCCAACTATTTGAATAATTGAAAGGACAACGTTTTTTCAAACTATAATTGTTTAGCTAGTTATTAAACCCCACACACCTTGTGTAGTTAAATATAGAAGTTGTTTATCTCTGGAGTTTCTCAACACTTTTAAAATAATGTATTTAATGAATAAACCTGCATTAACGTTTCATTTAGATTGAACAACTTGTCTTGGATTAGCTTAGCCTTAGTATGTGCACAAAAAGAAAAATGGCTGCTTCAGTTTCCTGTTTACTCTCCCACTAACACTCCAACGTTTCTTCCTCCTCAGATTCACCACAAAACACCTGAACGACGAGTCCACTCCGAAGAACATCCGGACGATGCTCCAGTAACGTTTTTTTTTTCTTTTTTAAATCTAAACAGATATGAAGAGGATCAATGCTCTGACCTCAAATAAGATGTATATGTTTACATTATTTAAAAAGACTCAATGTTAATACTCGTGTGTATTTGCATAGTCATTCCCTCCGAGCTATGGAAACCCTTGTACCTTCTTCTAACTTTGCAAAAAAACAATATGAAAGCACCACATGAATTGCCTCCGCTGTCAGCAGCTGTCAAAGCACACCGACGGACACCCTTCAGCCTTATGTAACCATGCTTTGCAAGCGGCACTTGGAAAAAAATGTTCTTCGACTAACGTTCTCAATCTTTTATTTGACAATGGAAGAAGTTTAGTGTACAGCCTTTAGTCAAATTTGAAGCGAAATAAATCTTTTCATAGTGAAGGTTTTACATTGTGACAGAGTTTGTGTGTTAAAACAAGTGGAAGTGTTTCTGTCTTCTCACTTGATCTGAAGAATGAGTCTCAATGAAATCAATCAGTGTGTGTTGCAGTGAGGGGCTAAATATTGAAGCAGATAAGGGATTCCTTGGTTTGATGTAAGTATTGCTAAAAGCATTTTCTCTTTCTATGCTCAGCTGTTGTATTTGTTTTTTCTCACACTCCAATCTTGTGAAATAAATCCACTGTGAACATTAATCTTACTTTGCACATCCAGTAAGATCCGGTTGGCTTCAAGTTCTGTAAAGGCTGTGATGATGGAACAAAATCAAATCAACCCACCATGTGTTTTTATTTAACTGTTAATGCGGCAATCTTTCTGAATGATGGTCGATGGTTTCGCCATGTTTTAAGTGACTTACTGTGTGGCTTTTGTATTAAACAGACATTTCTATAAAAGAAAGGCCATCTTTAATTCTGAATAAATGATATGTGCTTCTTAACTGAACAAGTTTTAAAACAATTGTTTACTTCCGTAACATAGTGACATCACATTTCTATTGGCTAGCGCTCCATCACATTTTACGTGGTAGGCTAAGGGGCGGGACACCTCTAAGCCGTTGACCAATCACAACACAGCTAACCAATCAGAGCAGACATAGCTCTGGTTTCAGGCAGAGGTTGACATTCTCTTTGAAAAATAGAAAGGTTTTATTCCCCGAGTGGTTAATTGAACAATTAATCTCATCATTATTTAAATTGAACTTTAATTTGACTTTATTTACATGTTTCATCTATAAATAGAACTAGAGCTATTCGTAACCTGACATTTTTCTTTAAAATATGGTATTTATGTACAAAAAAAGTCCTTAAATTTGACTTCTAAAGTAATGACTTTTAACATTTGCCCTTTTGTGAGTTTGATTATCCTCACTTGGATATTTCCTAACGTTCTCAACATCAGACAATCTCATAATTCTCGACTACATTGCTTTAGGTTTAATAACGGTTCATTGTTCATGTAACTTCTGAATGCGGATAGATGAGGAAGTGAGTAAAAAAGGAACTAATACAAATGTTTTGGGCATAAAACCTCCACTTTTCCATAAAATGACTAATCAGATTTGACCATGTAGCATACTATAATAATATCTTTATGACTGTAGCATCATCACCCCTATCATAACACATTAAAATAACTTTGGCTTTTCATGGCACCGCCTTCAAATATTAAAACTCGCTGGAAAATATATTAGGATTCTAACCTGAAAATAACTTCATCCCCGACTCAAAGAACTTCATTTCATTTCATCATAAGCCATATACAGTATATATAGTGATCCATTAACATTCAGTTCGTGAACATAAATTAACACGTCGGGTATTTCCTTTCATTCAGGCCTGTTGTTTATTTTTGATCCTCTTGTATTTAGTAATATATACGTATGTGTGTGAGAGCCACACTTTGAATGCTATGTTTTTGATGCATAAGTGTACAATAATTGGAGCAGGTGTGCGTATGATACTGATATTCCATATCTGACTGAATCATCATGATGGATGTGCACCGAGCCTCCCTCTGTGTGTTGAGCGCCAGGTGTTGAACACTGAGACAGATTCCCTTTTCCCGTCAGTTATTGTTTCATATGTTCTGAGTTCACACTCACTGTTTATATGAGTTGCTTTGGCTTTGTACTGCGTATTGAATGGGATGTGTGGATTGGATAATAAAGGTGGTACATTTCTTATAAAACTGTTTCCTTTGCTTTCTTGTGATACAGCAGTTGTGGAGGGTAAAAGCACTACAAGTAAAAGTACTGCATTGAAACTTACTGTAACAAGTGAATAGTAAGTATTATTGGGAACATGTACTGAAGTATTTAAAAATGTGTCATTTTACCACAAAATATGAAACGTCAACAGGTTTGTATTGACAAAGGTCCTGCATTTAAATAGTGTTTGAAGTCAGTTTATATTAGTATTTGCAGGCCAATGTACTTAACATAATATAAAGTAACTAAATTCAGAAGCCTATATCTTCAAAGGTTTCAAATAAGTTAAAGAAAAGCAGCAGATCCTCAGTTTGCATACAGTATTTATAGATTTATATTTATTTATAGTACTGTCTCCTTTAACCCTCCTGTGGTCTTCGGGTCAAATCTGACCGATTTACTACTTTCATCAATCATAACTTTTTTGTTTTACATTCGATTGCATTAAGGCTTTATGATATCCTTCACAGTAGACACTTGAACATATACAATTGCTGATCACCACTTTCATTGAACTTTGGATGATTTAGTCAACTTTGTAACACCCATGGTGTTCCCGGTCAAAAGTGACCGCCATAAAGAAAAGGAATTAGTAACCATCCGGATCAGATAAAACACACACACATAATCTAGATGTGTTACCCCCCTCTTATGTGCCCATCCCCCCATGTGAATCACACCTGGCACACACACACACAAACACACAACAATTTGACACATTTCCCGCTCTTATGTGCCCATCCCCCCACATGGATCACACCTGGCACACGCAATACATGTTCAGTGTCTATTCTTTGTATATTTACTGCAGTTGTTCATGTATACCAGTAGTCTGATACAATATGTACAGTTTGAAATCGTGTTAAATTACATTTGGTGATGATTAATGGTTTTTGTGTTAATGTAATAGCAGTTAAAACAGGACCGGTCAAATTTGACCGCGAACACCAAAGTAAGGGGGGGGAAACGAAGACAATAGGAAGGTTAATATTATTTTTTTCAGTGTTTTTCTTCCCAAATGGTTCTCTGTAAATCTTTTTCTGGAGTAAAACACACAATGTAAAACAAATATGATATATTGAGTTAAAATGACTTAATAATTGGCATTTTTTTTCAGCCTGCCACTAGCAGTGCGGTTCTTACTCAATACCTTGCCAAGAGATTGCAGTTGTATCCGGCATTACATGTTGAAAATATATAAACTCCACCCTTTGATGCTGTAGCTTTGACGTCTTCCTGATGGAGGCGATGAGCTTCATCTGTGTGTGTCTGAGAAAGGCACAGTCCAGGGATGAACCTCAAACAGGGGAACACCTGAAAGTATAACATACATTTTATTAGTGATATTTACACCTGAGATTCAAATCACTAACGACAACCACTGTCATTTTAGTCAGAGTGAGACTTCTGATTGGTCAACAAAGGATCAGTATCAAAATCACAGAATTTCACTGTATACCTTTTTTGTTTGGACTATTCAGTAAAACAATTGTCCCACAAAAAACATTTTATTCTAACTGTTAAATGTCAAACATTTTGTAGATGCATTTAAAACTGCACATATTTTATCTTTCAGTTTCAACACCTAGACTTGTCCTGCTTTGACGTCAGAGGTCTTCCATGAAAAAGGTCTAAAACCTTAAATACAATTTATGAAATAAATATATTTTCTGATGTAAAACAAAATGAAAATGTTCTGCTGGTAGAGGCACAAACATGCCTCAGGACACTCTGTTAAGATAAGGGAGTCACTTTTCCATTTTCTACAATAGTAAATTGGGTTTTTTAACCTTTTGTTTTTTAACAGGCCAATGGAGATGTCATAGTTTGAGAAAATATGTACATTCAAAAAGCATAATGTATTTCCAAAGGGTAAAACCAAGAAAGTCTTTCAAATGTTTACCCCAATACTCATATTTGTTCTTTTACTTTTATAACACTGCTACCTATTTGTTTACCTTGGATGTGAACTTGTTTTATTTTAATTGTATTAATGTGTGCTTTACTCTTTATTTAATTTGCCATACTCAATTTGTTTTGCCTTTTTTTCTGCTACAGATACAGAAGGCTACAATCAGAGGTGGAAGAAGTAATCAGAACTTACTTGAGTTAAAGTACTAGAGTGTAGGAATACTCTGTTACAAGTAAAAGTCCTGTATTCAAAATGTTACTCAAGTCAAAGTAGAAAAGTATTAGTACCGAAAGTAAAAGTAGTCATTTTGCTGATTGGTTATTTCAAAATAGTATATATGATATGTTTGACTAAAGTCTGATTATAATAATACTTGATTATATTTCACATCATTAATCCGAATCTGCAAATAAAGGTATTTAATAAATGTAGTGGAGTAAAAGTACACAATTTAACTGTTATTTGTAGTGCGGTTGAAGTTACACAAAATGTAAATACTCAAGTAAAGTGCAAGTACCTCAAAACTGTACTGAAGTACTTTACTTGAGTAAATGTACGTAGTTACTTTTGGCCCATTTGGCTATAACACTGTACATTTCCCCACTGTGGGACTCTCCAATAAAGCTGCAGCCTACAATTACTTCTAATGCTTTGCTTTAAAAATAAAAGCAATTCATGATTTATTTTCACTCAGGAGTTAGTAACAATACCAGCACAATTTCTAATGGGGTCACAAACAGCACACATTCTAATAATACATGACATTATTAGCAATTTTAACAGTGCCTAAATTCTGCCACTTTCCTGCAGAATCAGTGGTTTTATCCCATAATGTGTCCTGAATGTGTCTTGCAGTGTGTTACATCACTCTGAGCCCCGGGGCGTGCATCTTACTGGGGGGGCTCCTGTGAGAGCGCTGGGACGCCCTGAGCGCCTCCCCCCTGGGCCGGGGCCCCGCCCACCTCACCGGCCCCGGGCGCATCCCTGCATTCCACTGGGCGAGGCGCATCAGGCTGCTGACCGTCTCCTTGGTAACGGGGTGGTCGTGACTGGGAGACGCCCAAGAGGGTCGAGTCTCGTAATGAAGAGGAGGAGGAGGAGGAGGAGGAGGAGGAGGAGGAGGAGGAGGTCTGCAGTTGGAGCTGAGGAACATCTGAAGGAAGAGGGAAGAGAAAGAGAAGTGGGGTTACCTTGACAACCACATTTTCACAAGTAAGAGTCCTGCACCCGTTGCGGGACAATTAAAGGATTTCTGATTCTGATTCTGATTCAGATACTAACAGTTGACCAATCACAACAGAGCCGGCCAGCTAACCAATCAGAGCAGACTGAGCTCTGGTTGCAGACAGAGGGTGAAAAGAGGTGCTGCAGCACAGGCAAAAAATAAAGAGCTTTTTGAACATTAAAGCATGGAGACATGTCACAGTAGAGACACCAAATAGAAATATGAACCTGAAAATGAGCATAATAGATAATAATCTAAGATATATTTTGTAAAATATAAAAGGCTAAATTCCTTTTGAATTGTTGTGGAGTACTCGTCGGAGTAGTAGGTAAGTGGCATGAAAAAGAATACTCAAGTAAAAACCTAACACATTTGATTAGCTCCAGTATCCATGCTAATTAATTTTGTCTGATAAATATCACCAAAGCCTGAATATTAAATGCCACAGTGTCCTCTATCTCACCCTGCCCCCCCCCCCCTCCTCCCTCACACCCCATCATCAGCATAATTTCTCTCCCCCCCGACACCTCCCTCTCTGAGCAGCATCATTAACATGCTGTGTAAAGGCTGCTCCATAATGCATGATGTCTGCTGGTTGCACCATCTCCAGAGACCCCTCCCACGTTTACCCCTCCTCTGATTCAGACATGGAGGTCACAGTCACAGTAGGGGGGGTGGGGGTGATGGATGGAGCGTGTTCTACCATCGATTTGGCTCTGCGTAGCTTGTAGTGTGTCTCAGACGGGGATTTCTTTGGTGTGTTGCTGCTGCAGGTGGGGGCTCTGAGGGTCCTCCGCCTGCAGGGAGAGGAGCAGGTGGAGCAACACCATTAGTACTCTTTCAAACATAATAATCGGTTATATTACCTGCAGATGGCGAGGGTCAAAGAGCAACATGTGTCTGTTGCGCTCATTAATCTAATAATGCGTTATGATGTTTCATCATTTGATTTAACCATTATCTGCAATGAATTGAGCTTCTTTGGATGATCCTGTACTAACCTTTTTTAGCCCTATTTTGACTTTTTCTGCCTTTTTTGACTTTTATTTTTGGTCCTATTTCTGGCTGCATTAGGTGGTGAATAGTTCAGATACATTGTAATATTACTGTAATTCGCACTGTGCACTATGTGCAAATGGATGAAGTGCAGAGTTCAGAGGTAACTAAGTACATTTACTCAAGAACTGTACTTAAGTACAATCTTGAGGTACTTGCACTTTACTTAAGTATTTACATTCTTTGCTACTTTGTATTTTACTCCACTACATTTACTTAATACCTTTAGTTACTTTACATATTCTGATTAATGATGTGAAATATAATTAAGTGTTAAATCAGACTTTAGTTCCACCTGGAGTAAATTCACAAGCTACCCTGCAGTATACAAAGTCATTCAAACTCGCTGCACCTTTACCAGCTTTGAGAACACTTTGATGATCAATCATGATAAAACATATCATATATATTATTCTGAAATGGGCCAATCTGCTCAATGAGTACTTGCATGCAAATGCTTTTGTACTTTTACTTGAGTAACATTTTGATTGCCGGACTTTTACTTGTAACAGAGTATTCAACTCTTCTACTTCTACACTTACTCAAGTACAAGATCTGAGTACTTCTTCCACCTCTAGTGCTAACCATAGCCTCCATGTTAAGATCTGGTACCAACCATGAAGAGACTACAAATTAAATATAAAGATGTAAAAACTATGACCACATAGTCAGCATAACGTCGTGTGTAAAAATGTTGCTTACCTAACTTTGTTGCAAAAAATTGAAAATAATTGAAGGTGTTGTGTAAATGTAAGGCTGGTAAAATTGTACGACAGTTCTTCATTGTTAGCTCTTAAGCACCCATTGGACCCCTCCCACTTTTTTTTTTTGAGACAATGTCTCAGGGCTTCTTAACATTTATGAAACTATTAATGTGAAGATATGAACCATTTTTAGCTAAAAGAAACACAAGAGTAATACCAAGCCTTTGAATTAGCATTTTGCGAAAAAATGCTAACTAATGCTAGGACTTTTGCACAGCACTCACTCTCAAAATGCCCTTATTACTTATCGTAACTGCACAAACAAGATATCCGATTAAAGCTGAGACTCCACATATTCCATACATGTAGTGTCATCACTGTACCGAATTTGCGGAGCCTTCAGCCAGAAAAGAGAAAGTAAACAACATCCGGTTTCAAAAATATTACAATAATTACATCTTAGCTTTTTTGATTTGTGATCAAAAGTTGTGTTCAATGGAATAAAAACGCCGCTCAAGGTTAATCCAATGTCTCTGTGTCACGTAGAATTTTTTACTGATAATCCATCATCATATTTATGGCAATAAACTGGGTATAAAGTTTTGCAGTCAAGGCTTGTACTTTCAGATATGCTTCGTTTGCTTCTCAATTACGTCCGCAATGAAAATGTTTACGTGGATTTGGGAACTGCCCATCGGATTCTATTGGATCTAATGGTTAAGAAAAAGGTGTAAATCACTCAAATCGACCAATGGGTTCCATAGATATGGTCCTGCGTAAAGTATAAAGTGTGAATGCCAGCGGCAGACCCATTACGCAGCAGACTATACGCCCAGCAGCAGGACCCAGAGCGCACAGAGCGGACAGCAGATAACGGAGCAGATTACAAGATTAGCGTTTAGGACTTTTTCTATACTTTGACTTTTTTCAAATAATGGCTTGCAGGCAAGAGATGCTTACTACTTTACAGGCAATGGAAATGGTGACTAATGCTGACAGCGATGCAGATATGTTACCTGTTGATTCTGAGTCAGACGACGAGGATCTCCTGCAGCCAGAACGGCACCCGGAGCGTTGTGACTCTGATGATGAAATTCCACCTCGGGAAAGGTATGTAATCTCTCTGTTTTTATCTATTACTTATTTATTTGGTGTACGATTATTCATATAGTAAATAAAAGCGTCTGCTAAATGTAATGTAATGTACGCTCAAAATGGCATGTTTGGCAGGAATTATAGGGATTATTTACAAAAATAGTGTTTCTTGTCTGTTACATTTACTAAAAGTATAGGCCAGTGTTCATCTATAGTCACTAAATGTATTGCATTCACACACTCAAAATGGCATGTTTACTGCCAAGGAAACAGGAATTACAGGAATTAATCTAATCTCTTTGTTTTTCCACATTTGTTTTCATAGTGATGGAGATGAGGATGAAATGGCTTCAGCATTGCCTACTTTCACCCAGCCCACACCTGCCTCACCCTCACATTCCTCAACTTCTAGAAAGAGATCTGCACCAGTATTGGCCACTCAGCCTGCATCCAAAAAGCACTCCCTTCCAAAGCTACCATCGTCTGGTTTCTACCAGCTTTCTGCAGCGTCAGATGCATCTGTAAACCACAGGAAGCGTGGCCGAGGTGGGGCTCCCGCTCCTCAGCCAGGAAAAGGAAAAGCATCAGATAAATGTGTAAAACGCAGGAAGCGTGGCCGAGGTTCTTCCTCTTCCAGAACGACAGAAGAAGAACTCTGGTGGCACAACAGAGAGGAGAATGACCAAACACCAGAGCCACTGAATTTCACGCCAGCCAGGGTCCCAGGCCCAGCGCTCAACCCCACTGTAGCATGGTCTCCCCTCTCCATTTTCAGACTTTTTTTTTAGCGCTTCCGTGGTTCATACAATCATTACCAACACGAACGCCAACGCCCTGAAAAGACTGCAGGCTGGAAAGAAGTATGTTTGGAAAATGCTGACTGTGAGGGATTTCTATGTTTTCCTGTCCATTATCATTTTCTCAGGCCTCGTCACCGTTCACAACCGATCGGACTACTGGAGGAAGAAATGGCCATATAACTTCAAATTCCCAGGTGATGCGATGTCCCGGGACCGCTTCGGAGCCATCATGTGGTCACTGCACCTAAGCAACCCTGAAGAAGACGAGGAAAACGATCGCAAAAGGAACACCGCTGAGTACGACAGACTTTTCAAGATAAAGCCCCTGTACACGGACATCGTTACTGCCTGCAAAGCACATTTCCAGCCCCATCAAAACATTTCAATAGATGAGAGGATGGTCGCCTCAAAGGCCCGCATCAGCATGAAGCAGTACATGAAGGATAAACCAACTAAGTGGGGATACAAACTGTTTGTGCTGGTGGATTCCTCCACGGCATACACATGGAACTTCAATGTGTACACAGGGAAGAGTACGTTCCTCTCGGGCCAGGGACTCAGCTACACCTCCGTGACCGACCTCCTGCCCCTGCACGAGGCCTTCAGCGGTCAGACGGTCCAGCGGAAAGTGAAACAGGCTGGTGTGTGGCAGACTAAGACTGTTCCCACTCCTGACGCTGTGTTTGACTACAACCGAAGCATGGGTGGCGTGGATGTGTCTGACGCTTTGATCGGGTACTACAGCGTTCTCCACAAAACGATGAAATGGTACAAGACTTTTTTTTTTCATTTTATGGACATTGCAGTGGACAACAGCTTCATTCTCCACAAGGAGCTGCAAAAGATGACAAGTGACCCCAGCAGGACAAAGCCACACACACAGAAGACTTTCAGGGAGCAGCTTGCTTCTGAAATGTTGGAATTTGGAACACCTCCACCACCCCCCCCCACCACTCACATGCGGGCCCAAGTTTTATGGGAAAGATGTCCGTATCAGGAAGAACTGCAGGAACTGCCATGATGCTGGCAAAAAGAAGGTGAAGACAGCTGTGTACTGCAGGAAGTGTGAGGTCCCTCTGTGCTTCACTTCCAAAAAGAATTGTTACGAGGAGTGGCATGCCTAAATTGTAACATTGTAAAGTTTTAAATAAATCTGCTCCAGTTGGAGTCAAACTTCATTTTGTATGTTTTTTTTTTTTTACAACAGTTGTATTTGGATGGAATGAATACCTATTGTGATAATTCAAAGTAATAAAATGATTTTTACAGTGAAAAAGGTCAAATGGAACTGATGGTTCCCAAATTACCCAGAGGTGAGTCCGCCTGGACTTTATTCTTCTAAACCTCTCTAAAAAGGTCAAATTTCACTTGTTTTGCATCAATCTTGATACAGGGTACTTATTATATGTTATAGTTTGGATTCCTAAAGCTTTTAGTCTACTAACCCATCATTCAAGGGTGGTTTTCACTATAAGTAATGGGTTTTTTTTTAGGCGGAGATAGAATTTACTAGTAGTTTTTACTATGTTCCATATGAATTTACTTTAAAAATAAAAACATCTATATTGATTCTGACAATTCTACATCCAACTCACAGATGTAACCTTGCTTTGAGAAAAAAGATTATTAATTTACCCCTTTTAGAAGTGAAGATATAGTCTTTGTTGTGTTAGTGGCATTTTCGAGCCTGAAACCTGAAAAACAGGCTCAGGGCTTAACAGGTTAGGTGGTGAATAGTTCAGATACATTGTGATATTACTGTAATTCGCACTGTGTACTATGTGCAAATGGATGAAGTGCAGAGTTCAGAGGTAACCAAGTACATTTACTCAAGAACTGTACTTAAGTACAATCTTGAGGTACTTTACTTAAGTATTTACATTCTTTGTTACTTTGTACTTTTACTCCACTACATTTACTTAATACCTTTAGTTACTTTACAGATCTGGATGAATGATGTGTTAAATCAGACTTTAGTTCCACCTGGAGTAAATTCACAAGCTACCCTGCAGTATACAAGTCATTCAAACTCGCTGCACCTTTACCAGCTTTGAGAACACTTTGATGATCAATCATTATAAAACACATCATATATATTATTCTGAAATGGGCCAATCTGCACAATGAGTACTTGCATGCAAATGCTTTTGTACTTTTACTTGAGTAACATTTTGATTGCCGGACTTTTACTTGTAACAGAGTATTAAACTCTTCTACTACACTTACTCAAGTACAAGATCTGAGTACTTCTTCCACCTCTAGTGCTAACCATAACCTCCATGTTAAGATCTGGTACCAACCATGAAGAGACTACAAATTAAATGTAAAGATGTAAAAACTATGACCACATATGCGGCTTTCACACCAGCGCTTTTCCCTTTCTAGCTCCTAGCGAGAGCTTTTCTGGTTCAGCTCCGGTTTCCCTTTTCAGCTCCCGCTCTGTTCACACCGCCCAGAGCTGCCGAGAGATTTTCTCCCACAACAACAACGGGCCGGGGACTGCGTCGGGTCGACGATCGTGTTGCTTTTAATCATACGAAGCCAGATTAAATTAAATAACGGCTTCTCCAACCTTATACTTTTCTCCAGAGTGCCGTGGTTCATTGTTTATTAATGTGTTTCAGCGGCATTTACCGACCGCTGCAGTGCTGGCTGCTCTTCCACGGGAGTTTATTCTCCCGTTAGCGGCTCTAAAGTATTCACTGTCTGACTGTCACACAAGCAGCTGATACATATCCCCAGTTCCCCTTAAGTGAATGTGTGTCAGTCTGAATTGACGCTGTTTGGCATCACAACGCTGTTATGAAAGTTTCTCTGGTATAACATGGGTGATGTTAGCATAGCAACCGAAGCTAAACTGACTACTTGCTAAGCCGTTTTCTACAGGCACATTTTACCGGCGTATTTTTCATTATGATTCTACTTGTGATAGTCGGACATGACAACCTGTGCAGCCCATGTATTAATTCCATCCGATAGCTGCTATAATAGCAAACAAAACGTCTGCCTGCTCTCCACAATGATCAATAACAGCGAACGGATGGTCAAAGTAAGGTTTCCTGCACGCCTCGACGTAAGCGACGCCGCGTCATAGCTCCAAAGCTCTTGCCTCTGGACCGACAACTTTTTGGAGCTGGAAGTGAACCGCATTCCGGAGCTATGACGCGCCGCCGCTGCGGTGTGAACAGGAAAAACCGGCGCTTTTCAGGCTCTAGCTCCCAGCAGGAGCTGGAAAAGCGCCGGTGTGAAAGGGGCAATAGTCAGCATAACGTCGTGTGTAAAAATGTTGCTTACCTAACTTTGTTGCAAAAAAATGAAAAGAATTGAAGGTGTTGTGTAAATGTAAGGCTGGTAAAATTGTACGACAGTTCTTCTAACTGTGCATTGTTAGAAACAGGAGGCCCAGTTATAAGAATGTCAACACTATATGGCTATATTTCTATTTCTAGGTTATCTCACATGTCAGATTGTGGCTGTGGACTGAGAGCTGCGTCTGAATATCTACATTTAGTTTTGGATATACAGTATGGTGTGTAAATACAGAAAGTCAAATTGTGCAATCTCTCTTGTTTTAAGGCCAATCAATGGTAAACGGACTGCATTTATATTGCGCTTTCCCAGTCTTTTACACTTACAATTAAGTACTCACCCATTTACACACAGAAGCTGTCATACAAGGTGCTACCTGCTCAGGGAGACTCACATTCAGACACTGTATCTTAAGTATATTGCCCAAGAACACATCGACATGTTGACTGTGGGGGCTGGGTCCTGGGATCAAACCACCTATATTCTGATTGGTAGACGCCCACTCTACATCACAGCCACAGCCCCATGCTCTGGACTCTGTTATTAACGATGTTTCATTTGGGATTGCTAATGTAATGACCATTCATTAATGGTCTACTTAATAACTGTTCATCAAGTCCCATTAAAACATAATGAAGTTCAGTAAATGGTTTGTTTGTTTCTGCTAACATTATCTTGATTTCACTTTCAACTGTTTAAAGGTTTTGATTTTTTTGACCAATAACAATCCAATTTGACGTCTTACATTTTCAGAGCCTGCTCGGGGGGGTCCAGGTTGTCGAGGTAGTTGAAGCGCAGAGTGTCTGCAGGACGTCTGTCAGAGTCTCTCCAGGGTGGGGGGGCAGGCTGCTTCTCCTTTCTTATCCCCGTCCTGGAGATGCTTCCTGGAGGCTGGCTGAGGGAGGCTGCCCCCCCCTCACTGATGAAGACCGCCTCTGACAGATCTTCAGGTTTACTGATGGAGGAGACGTGTGGAGCCTCCAACTGCTGCTGGGGGGAGGACGCCTGGAGGTATACATTACATTTTTATAAACATTTTATCACTGAATTTTGATTTAGTTATCCTAAAATAATAACTAATATTCATATATTTGACAACTACATGTTTGATTTTTGAGTTTATCAGTGTTGGAATGTAACTAAGTACCTTTACTCAAATACAATTTTGGTACACAACCAGTACTTGGGTATTTACTTTCTTATTCTACTCTACATTCAGGTTAATATTTTACATTATGTCAACACTTATTTAAAGCCTAAGTTACTCAACAAATTAAATACATGTTCACATAAAAAATCCAAAGAACAAACATTTTTGGATGTTTTTTAATAAATTAAACTACCTAACAGCGTGAAGTACAGCCTTAATGATTAATGTAGTCAATTATTTTTGCAAAAATGCACAGGCACCCAAAATTAGATTTTGCTGTTTAATAATTTTGAAGAGTTTCTGTATTGAGTATGGTTTATTTTACATTTAATATTTCAAGTACATTTTCCTGATTATTCTTTTACTTAAGTAACCATTTCAATGCAGATCTTACACTTGTAGTGGATTATTTTCGCAGTGTGGTATTATAATATAATAATTATTAAAATAAGTCTTTATCAAACAGGGGCCATGCAGAACATATTATTTTCAAAACAAAAGAGATGAGTTATTGCAGTTTTAGCTATTAGCAATCTCAGCATGTTCTGTCCGAGATACAGTACATGTAGCCATCAACAGCCACTGAAAACATGAAGTCTCTATGACACTCACATCAGAGTTAATATTCAGTAAAATATATTCTACACTGCTGGAGTTATTCTGTGTGACCTCCTGACCTGCAGTGAGGTGAGCCTCAGCTCCTGCACAGAGTGGATGTAGAGTCTCTTCCACACCCCCTGCTCCAGGGGGGTGGGGGTGAAGGTGAGGCCCCAGCCCAGCCTCAGACACTTTGGCCCCCACAGCTGGTCCAGCTCCACCAAGCTCCTCCAGCTCCAGCTCACCTAGCAGGGGATTCAAGAAAACACCCAGAAAGAGAGAATGACTTAGAGCTAGATCGGTAGTTGAGTCATCCATCATAACCATCCTACATACAGTAGTGCAATACTGTACATCAATTATTTTGCCTAAATTGCAATATTAAGGTACTTTAAACTTCTACTGCATCAATTTTGTACTTTTTACTGCACTTCATTTATTTTAAGCTTCATTTACTTTGCAGATTCAGATTCATAGTACAAAACATCATCAACAAATTAATGATGATGCAATATTAAGGATTAAGATACATCTGAATTGATTCCCAGGAAAAATCATTCACAGGCTGCTCAGCATAAAACAGAATACAAATGAATTAAAATAAAATGTTGTAGATTCAGAATATTATAGCAAAATAAAAATCAGCTCATAAATAAGGATGTATTATTTTTGTATTGATATACACTAGTTTAAGCTACTCGGCAGTATACAAAGTAGTTAACATTAGCACCACTAACATCTGCAAAAGGAATGCTTGTGTCAATAACTATAACCCAGTGATATAGAATAAGTATAACACATAGATATAAAGCATTCTGAAATGAGTTACTGCAAAATAAACACATAGAAGTATATGTTGAAACTATTACTGTATTACTGTACTTTGTATCCCAAGTAAAAGAGTATTTTTTATTATTGTTTTTACTGAATAAGCAAGGATACCTAACTTTCACCACTTCAACTTGTTACATCATTTGAAATTATTCCAACAAAATGTAATTAAAGAATATTAAAAAACATAGAACCAAAAACATATTGATGAAGACGGGTGTCAACAGATATAGTAATTGATTTCTGCTCACACAATCATAAAGTAAATGAATGCTTCTTCCCCCTAGCGTGTAAGGGTGTGTGTTATGGTGTGTGTTATGGTGTGTGTTACGGTGTGTGTACCTGTGCGCAGCGGCTCAGGCTGCGGGGGTCCAGGAAGGAGAAGAGGTAGAGGCAGAGGGCCCGGGGGAGCGGGCAGGTGAAGTCAGCCGCCTGCAGGGGGAGCCGTCTGCTCACACTGAGGCTGAGGAAGAGGAGCTGCTCCACCGAACAGCTGAGCACCAAGTCCTGCAGCACCGCCCTCCTCTGGCTGTCACTCCACCTGTCACACTGACATAGGAGGGGGGGTCACAGGAGGCTCCACAGGCACCCATCAGCACAATGGAGAGGTTCTCACGACTACCAGAGATCACACTGAGTTCACTCAGCAGTGAAGAACCAGCAGCTTCATCATCATCATCATCATCATCACATGAACTCACCCACTTTGACAGAAGTTTCCGCCTTTCTTCAAACACCTGAGAAAGAAGAGAAAAATGTAAATGACAATGACAGATTGTGTGTATTAGATGATGATTAGATTATATATTTATATGATAAACAAATAACACTTATGACCGTGAGTCCAATTTCCTAAAAGAAAAGGGCTAAACTTGACATAGTGGGTCATGGTGATATATTCTCCAATAAGTTATTGCTCTGTAAACTTTAATTTTTTTTAATACCTGTCTGATTCTTTTTGAGGTTGTATTAATTTGTCTTGGCTTTTTATTGACACTACTTTTTCTACCAGTCACAGAATATATCTGACTAATATGTTTTTGTGTGATGTTTCAGAGTGGATGTGACCTTGCTGTTGGAGGGAGCGTGGTTCAGAGGAGTCCAGGAGCTCAGTTTGGTTTGCATCTTGGCACAGCTGGAAGATGACCTCTGTGCAAGCGGCATCATCGAGTAACAGCTGGGTAAAGGTGATGCACTAAAATACACAGAACAAAACTTTATCAACATGTTTTTGTTGTGTGTGCAGCATGCCATTTAACATCATCTGAACACTTTAAGGCTTGTGTTTAGCCTTCTTAAAAAATTAGAAGTTACATAACATACCAGCTTTTATCTCACTCAAAAGGAACAGTGAGTGTGAGTGAAGTCTTACAGTATATATGATAAATCAATGAATACATGTGGAGATTTATAAAAAAAGACAAGAGGATAATCAGCCCTACAGCAATAGTTCAAGAAGTCTAACTGACACGAATCCAGCCTGCAGAAAGACGATTTGATGTTCCGGTAGACCACCTGTCCAACAAATACGACATACTTTCTGGAGTTGCACAAGGAATCTGTCTTGGTCCCCTCCGTTTTTCATTATGAGCTACTACTAGGTATAACTATTAAAGTCTTATATAATAAATCAATGAATAAATGTGTAAATATATCGTGTATAATGATGTTTGCCCAGAGTCAGATGTTTATATCCTCTCCCCTTCTTTGTTATTATGTTACTATACACTGATACCAAATACACAAATACCTCCATCTTTAATTCCATATCTTGTAAAAACAAGAGTTAGGAAAATAAGTCTTGGTCCCCTCCTTTTATTATTATATATGCTACTGCTAAGTATAATTAATAAAGTATTTTATAGTCAATCAATGAATACATGTGTACACATAAGGCCAAATACATCTTCGCATTATGTCTTGTTTCCCCCATCTTTGTTATTATGTAACTTGGCAATACTAATACAAAAATAATATACAACTTTAATTCTATAAGAGTGAGGAAAAGCAGTCCACAGTTAGAAGAAGTTAAAAGGACAAAGGTCAAGCCTTACACACACACACACCATGCAGCGTTTTCATAGTATACACACACTCCTAGTATTTTACTCACCATCAGTTCTCCTCTGCTGACGGAAGGAGAAACATTCCCTCTCTCTCTGTGTACTCCCGTTAGCCTTTGTGTCTGTACACCAAACTCTTCTTCTTCTCTTTTATTTCCCACTTTCCTGTGCTCAGTTTACTCGTTCCCATAGTAACAGAGAGTGGCAGGGCCTGTCACACGCAGAGGGGGGTGCTGCAAAGCAAACCACAGTGCAGAGTGGAGTGTGCAGGCGACAGTGACTTTAATGATGACAAATAGTAGAAGCTGCAGAAAGCCTGACACTGCAACTGCTGCAAAGACCATCTGCCCCTGATACTCTGATACTGCAAAATACCTTTCACTTCTGGAGATCATGTTTTCTGACATAGTTCTTATGTACAGTAGATATATGTGTATTTTTACACTGGATATGTATATTTCTCCAATGCAAAGTTGATAACTTGTGTAAAACACTATGCTAAATTGAAAGGAACATTTTAAAGGAATGTAATCTACAGTAACTGACCTGTTAATTGATCAAATATATTGTGTTTTACACAACACTAATGAATAGGTGTTGGAAATGTACTTATTACATTATCTGTAGCAGTAGTAACATTAATGGAAAAAGTAGTAGTAGTAGTGGTGTAATGTAACTTCAAAGATCCAGACTCATTTATACTTAAGTAGCCTACTATTGTTCGCATACTTGTACTTCACTTGAGTTTAACATGTAGGCTAATACTTATTTATACTGCTATTACACTACATTACAGAGATATATATTTACTTTTTACTCCGCTACATTTATTATACATTCAATTTTTTACATATAAAAATACATGATATGCACATTTTCAAGTTTCATTTCCTAAAATAAGTACTGTAGTGACATTTTAAAATCAGCACTTTCACTTGTAATGGAGTTTTTTTTTTTAGTATTTCTCCTTCAAAAGTAAAGCAACAGCCTCATTTTTCAACACTAGTAGTAAAGTAGTAGTATCATAAGATAACTTTGTTTTAAGCTTAATAAATTGACTTGTGAATGAAGTAGGCGTTGGCTCTGTTTTCAAGGCAACAATGCGCCTGGTGTATGACGTTAGAACTGCTGCTGTGGGCCTGCTGATAAAACATTTGATTTTTTTCTGCAGACAAACACTGAGTGCCACCAGTCTGAGAAGTTTTTCATTCAAAAGGCTGCTCGTCCTCGGATGGGCGGCCGCGCGCAACGAGGACAGAAAACCTGCTGTGAAGAAAGAGGGAGAGCTGCGTCAAGTTAAACAGACACACCCTGAGCACGACCGGAAACCACCCGGAGGACCTTCAAAATAATAATAATGAATCAGTTATGTATTGCATGTACATGGTTTTAAATGTATAACACATAGTTGTCATTCCGATTTAAATCCATAGCTAAAATTACCCCTCACACTAACTAAAAGTGGTAGGCTATGTTATTATATGTTACACATTGAATCAGTGGCCGACTTTTTTTTTTTTTACTATTTTATGGTGGTAATACTTTTCTTCTATGGAACTGCTTTAATTTTAAGTACAGTAGGCTATGCTACTTAATCCGACCTAACTACTTTACACTGCTGCTTTTCATTAATTTTGATTAGAAAGGAATCAACATTATTAAAATGGTTGGTTATAATATTTTTCAAGATTCAAGATTCAAAGGTTTTAATGTCATATGCACATAAGCTACACTGTAGAAATGGCAATGACAATCTTATGTCCCGAGTCCGACTCCCGTGCTCCTCCAACAATGCAACATAGTAATAAGACATTTAACAATAAAAAAAATAAAAATGCAATTTTTTGGCGGAAATCTCTTAACATCCATTGAAGAGTGACATTAAAGTACCAATAACACTGCCTCACTACCATACTGTATTTAATTTACTGACACAAATATATTCTGTGCTGGGTCTTTCGTTTGTTGATGAGGCTTTTATTTTGTCGACTTTTGACTGGAAGCCATTTTGAAAACATAGCTGGCTTGACGCTGGGCTGAGAGGGGGACAGAAGCGATGCGGAGGGGGGAGGCGGACAGAGGAGGAGGACAGGAGGAGACGGGAGGAGGGTGCTGCTAGGGGGACATTCACTCATTGTTAGCAACTCGAGGAGTGGCGGAGACCCCGTCGCTACACGTGCAATTTCGGCACAACATTCAGGTAAAGTTGCCTTTAATTTACTCACTTTAGCTAACATTTATTACCGGAGTGTTTCTCATGAACAGGCACCTCCGTCTCCGCCCGACTCGGTGCGCTGAATTATAACACCGGTACACGGGCTACATATGCCCCGGTTACTATCATGCAGGATAACTAACCGTCATCTTTTGTCTCCGCTGCGCCGCTTGACATTCTGTTTTATTCAACCATTTTAAAGCAGGGAGGCAGGTACAGAGGGCAGTGGCTAGGATATACCGTGATAAGCCTCTTGGTGACGTTAGTAGTAGCTAGCTACGCTCACATTTATGAGGCGCAATTCATTTATGAATTCCCTGCTCGGAGCTCTCGGAGCGCCAGTTAATATTGAAGCACAGGTACGCTAATGGGCGCACTAATATCGCGGTATTTCAAATAATTAACCTTTAAAAAAGCTGCGCTTGTTTGATATTTGTTATAATTAGACGCAGGTGTATAATATTTTTTTTTGAATGTCAGTGAGTGGAAATGTATTGGGTTGTTATGGGTGTGTACTGTCATGTAAATGAAGCTGTAAATGTTTTCCGCTATGGAAATGTGCTTTAATTGATGACAAAAATAATACTTTTTCTGTAGTGTAGCAAAAGTAAAGTCGCTCCATCTAAATTACACTAATACCAGTAATAACAACATACTATAAATCATGATAAGTCACCTAACTAAACTACCACACAAAACCTGGAAATGTTTGAACATAGGAGTGATGTAGTGTCCTGTATGCAAATGCTTTGCTGATGTTATTAATCCCTAGCATGATATATTGCTGTTAATTAACTCTGCAAATGTTATTATCAGTCATCTACATAACCACCCACCACAGTGAAATGCAATTACCAAGTCTCTTGAAACAGCCTTTTGTGTGTTGTTCTGTTGTAGTCTTTTAAAGGTCTAATTGATAAAGCCTGTTTTTGGTTTAAAACATAATAGCTATGTTGAGTAATCTACTACTGGTGACTTGTTACCAAACATACACTTAAAATGTTGTGCTTTAATTTTTCAGATCCTACGCTGAACATCATCTCCAACTGTGCTCGTCATCTTTATTTTCCCATCGAGGCAGGAGAGGGAGGAGTGCGAGCGGTCATTCACAGCGCGGCATCTTAAAGGACCACAGCATCTCCCAGGCTATGGAGCTCCTGTGACACACATCCCCAGGGAGATGGATGTAGCTATCTTCAGTCATGGATTACGCTGCCCGACCCAGAGTGTTTCTCTGTGAGCTGAAGAGGAGGAAGAGACTACCAGACAGTCCTCGACTCACCTTTAGCCTTGTGATTTCCCTTTCCCGGTGAATGAAACGGATGCTAACAGGGCTCAACCCTTCTTCTTAACAAGCTACTTCTGTACGGACCGGTCATGGATCTCCTGTGGGTGCTGTCGGTGTCCATGTTGACGGTGTGCGTCGCCATCCCCATGGACGCGGCGGGGGAGAGCCATAGTCTGTTCACTTGTGAGCCCATAACCCTGCGCATGTGCCAAGGGCTGCCATACAATGCCACCTACATGCCCAACATCCTGAACCATTACGACCAGCAGACTGCCGCCCTCGCCATGGAGGTACAGTACACCGCCCACATGTGGAAAATATAAAAAAGCAATGCATCTTTCAAATGTGTCAACGGCTTTATTTGTCATATGCACAGTAGATACAGCGTCATTTTGGCAATGAAGATCTTGATTCTCAAGCTCCTCCAATAATGCAACATACGATATTCCTTACTTAAAAGTAAAAGACATACAATTGTGAAATAGGCAAAATTGTTTAAATATTCTTCCGGCATAAAAAAAAAATGTACTAACAAGATATAACAAAAAGTGAAATTAAATACTATGGAGTAGAATAATTACAGTTTTTACCATCTAAGCACTGGTTTGTGTGTCTACAAAATGAGATTGTGAGCGAGAACTCAGGTATTTGCTGATATTATGTGCTGACGATCAAAACTGATCATTTTATTTCCACAGAAAATAATGCATTGGTGATTTCTCTGCATTGTCAGGGATATACCTTTTTACATTTAGACCATAATAGACTTTAACCCGCAGCGGGACTGAAACTGCAGATCTGCTACACCTATTCAGTGGGAGTGAAATATCTGGAATACATTAAACCTTTAAATGGATAGTCTGGTTGTTTTTGAAATTGGGTTCCACATAGGTAATTTCCATAGTTAGTGTATAATGTACTGTGTACGGCTGTCGACGCGCCCCTAGTTTCGAGAAGAGGACATGAGTACTCGCATGGAAGCTAAACAATGTACTGCTGCGGACAGGGAGAGAAGTATAATTTATTTAAGCCATATAACAAAAGGCCAAACAAAAAAATCGACTTATTATAAATGAAGGAAATAAATGAAGGAAGAAAGTAAATATCTTTGCTAGATATAGTGGCCATGGATGCACTTTTTAGCAGAGGTGATTAACAAAAAAATTACAAAAAGCGGCACTTTTTTCCATCTTAATATTCGTATTTAAACCTGTGTAACATACATTTGCATTTGTAATTTCCTGTCTCAAACTGCCTTTTGCTTGAGCCATCTAATTGTATACATTTTTTAAACGCAATGTTATATTTTAGTCAGATATGGTAGAAGGTAGATATTAATTAGTATGTCAGTTATTAAGGAGTTATAAACAAAAAAACACTTTTGGCAATTTTAAGGAAAATTGCGCATTGCTATTTGCGCTGTGGCCTTCTGCTTTGTTGTCTATTTCCTTCCACTGTCTTCCGCTGAACTTTTCTGCCTTTCTCTATTTTCATATCATTTTAAGGGATAGTTTGAAGTGGGGTTGATGATGTTCTTGTCCATAGTCCCAGTATTACATATAGTAGATGTCGGTCAGTATTCCACCAGTTTAGAGAGACAGACAGGAGTACGGGTGCGGATGCAAAGCAGTACATAGCTTTGCATCATACAGGGCCAGAAAGGCTAAAAGAGAGGCAGACCCTTTTAAACACCAACTCACACAATCAGACTCTCGTGCTCTGCAAGGAAAAATTACCGTTTTTGTCAACGCCGTTTGGGACTTTAAAGAGAGCATACATAACAATTTCAGTTCCTGAAAACAAACAAAGGGGTGTTCGTCGGCAAGGTTTAGCGGTAAAAAAAGGTTTGATATACAATTAGTACACAAACTGATATTGATTTGTTCAGGTGGTTCTATTTTTAGGTGGTTAAAATATGTTTTGCTGCTGCCTCAGCAGTACATTGCTTAGCTTCCATACGGTAAGCCCGGTCTGTCTCTCCAAACTGGAGGCAGGCCAACCGCCATTTACTGTAGTAATGCACTGACTATAAGCACCTCATGTAGTGGGGACGCGTGTGGCGCAGTGAATAGATCCTTGGTGTTGGGATCAGGGGGTCACAGGTTCAAACCCCACTGCAGTCAGCATGTCGTTGTGTCCCTGGGCAAGAAATTGCTCCTGTGGGGATTGCCCACAGTATTGAGTATGTAAGTCGCTTTGGATAAAAGCGTCTAACAAGTAACATGTAATGTAATGTAATGTAGTGCCAACTCAAACATTGCGATTTGTCTTATTCTAAGAAGAACCCATATATATATATTTGAAGGGACAGTTTTTCACAATTTTGTGATATTCTATAGACTAATGTGTTAATGGATTGTAAACCTTATATTGAGCCTAACTTGTATACTCCTGATGAATGAAAGTTATTTTAGTGAGGGATTTAATGAATTTATGAATGCATTTTAAGAAAAGCTATGGATTTGGAACAAACATAGGAACTGGCCTGAATGAAACAAGATTACACCTAAACAAAGCAATTCATAAATCCCATATTGAGAGAAGAATTTTTATATTTTTGGCCTACGTAGTAATAAGCTAAGCACATAACGACGCATTGGGTGCCAGTTAAAAAAATATGCGTTATCGTTAATCCCCCCCAAAAAATAAAAATAACAACACTTGAATGAAAATTGCATACCTTTAATTTATTTAAAAAAAATTGACAATTTCTCTCCTTTTATTTCTGTCAGTTTTCCTCCCATTTTGTTTCCGTCTCTTACCATTCCTGAGTCCTTTGGCTTTCTTCCTCTGTTGTGCCTCACATTGTTGTGGATACAGGAATGAAATACACATCCGCAGACACACAAACACACATCTTCACAGATTGAAGCCCACAGACGGCATTTCTATCTGGATGTATGTGTTGCCAGATCAGGACAGGGGTTAGTGATATAATTAGTCTTCCTCACATGTTGATTAGTGTGTCTGCAGCACTGCCTGCCCCATAGACATCAGTAGCCTATATAGCTATCACTACAGCTAACTGTGTATGTGCTGAGCGTTGGTAATATCAAAGTGCTAGCCTACTTTAATGTGGCTCCTGTAGCTCCAGGCACAGTGAGTGTATTACCAAAACATTAAGCAGAAATTAAGTTTTAATACTTTATCTCTGGGAGCCAGGAGAACAGTGCATTATTAAACTGTCTAAAAAATGGTTTCTGGTCGCATGTTGACAGACAGGCGATTTATGAAAACATGTAGCGACTCATCACATCAAAACCATTTTTTTTTTTGTTGCAGTAAGTTAACGTAGCCCTGGAGTGAAGACACCAACTGTTTCATTTTGTTTCATCTGAAGGATTAAAGCTCAGTTTCTCGTGTTTAGTCCTTGTTTTATCGTTTCCACCCCACGGATTATCTATAGATTTACCAGCCACAGCATCTGACTGTTGTGGCTGTGTGATCCTCTTTGAAATGACGAGTTAGACATTTACAAACAATCACGGAGCAGATGCATCACCTCGTTAACTTAATCCCATCCTCTGCGTAGGCTGATCCCTCTGGAAGCTCAATCTATCTAGCAATTACTGGCCAAACCGCACCAAAACATTAGACTGGATGAAACATCTACCTATCTGTGTGTGTTTGTGTTTCAGTCTTCCATCTATATTTATCCCTTCTTATTCATCCTCAGCATCAGGTTCCCATTGGCTCCCACTCCCTCGATCACTTTTAGCCTTTGACACCCGCCCTGCTCCGCCTGGCACAGGGATGATGTGGATGTGCACACCAGCTGTGCCTCCTCCTTTACGCTGTACTCAACATAGACACACTGAGTGAGGGAGATATGGAGGGCGGGTTATGTAACCTCTGAACATGCCCTGGCCCACTCACAGCGCACCACATCACATCTGTACGCGCATTAGGAAACATGCAGGCGCTCTTGACTCCCTGCTTAGGGTACTATCTTGACTTTGCCGAAATATTCACTCTCTAATCTTGTGGATTTAGTTTAGATTTTGAAGATCAATTCAAGAAAATACATTTAAGATTGTACTTGTTTTTAGTAGAATAATTTCCTTATTGCGTAGATGTTGCTTACCCGTGTTGCTTTGAGGCCACGTTAGCTTTTTTTACGCTAATCTCAGTGTGTGGGTTGCCGCGAACAGAGAGAGGCACTTCTAGTTTGGACGGTGTTCACTTTGATTGGTCATGGAGCCACAATTAAGTCTCTTTTAGCTCTCAGAAATGCTCATTGGGTTTGGAAAAGACACACGGAAACCCAATAGGTTCCAAATAACAGAGACTGTGCCTCTGTTTGGCACTTGTTTGCCAGATAACTCGCCCTAGATCCAGTTCATGGGAGAATTCAAAGCCTATAAGATGTCGAGGGCAGCCAAATGAGAATTGACAGTTGATTTGAAAGAGAATTAGGTCCTCTGAATAGCCACGATAATGATGATGAATGCCTCGCACCGTGGAGAAACTGGGAGTTGGACGAGAACCAACGCCTGCCGTTCTTGCAGTTTTTGTCTAAACCCCCTGAAGTGGTGTCTGTCTGAGTTTCTTTTATCCTGTCTCGTTTTTCACGGTCTTTTCAACGTTTTTGTTCTTTTGGGAAAATGGGTGCCATTTGTCATGATATCGTTAAAACTTTCTTGGTTCTTTATTTTGTTGGGTTTAGTGTGTGCAGATGTTCACTGTAGCGTATTTAATCTTAGACTGGTGCTTACAGTGGGGACATATTTGGAGTATGAGCTGCATATCACATTAGCAGATCCGATTTACCCGGTGATAAAAGTACCCTTTTTAACTTGATTTGAACAAAGACAGATTGTGTGGTTAGTTTGAACTGGAAACATAACTAACAAGGTGATTCGGATAAACATGATTTTCTGTTCCCGCGTTGATGCTCGCTGCGGCAGCCATCGCTGACCGCTGAATGACCTCGCAGCTGAAGTGGGGCAGCGGCCTCGGGGCTGGGAATCGGCTAATTCTGTGCCACAATGATATTGTGCCATACTGTATACCATAAGTGGGAGCGTGGCGGATTTGACTGGCATTACAAAAAGACCAAAATAAATGGGCTAAAATCCCCTTCTTTACAGATAAATGCACACTTTAGCTACAGTAAGGCAGCGTGGCTTCATCACATTTAATCAATTAAGCTGCTATGTACTGTGAAAAGCAGATGGCATTTATTTCAGTATGAAATCAGGTCGTATCTCATTCTATAACGGACGTAGATGATAATAAAGCTATTACGTTTGCATATGCTTTAAGGATTTTCTTGCGAGGAGAGGACATG